GGTAAGCACCATATAAGTAATGTACAAGTAAGCCAAAAGGTTTAAAACATATATCCCAGTCTACCACCCACAGTTAACCACTGTTACCATTTTGATTTATATTTTCTTAGTTTTTTTACTATGCAGATATTACACATAAAAATGTAAATGTACTAGTGCTTTATAGCATGTACTTTTCATTTAAAATGTAATAAATACAACTGAAATGATTAAGTCACAGGACTACCGTTTCTTTTATGCATCATTTTTGCTCTTTGTTAAACCAACCCCTAATCCAGGTTCTTTCTATATTTTGCCTATAATTAAACAAAAATTTGGGGGCGCCTGGGTGGTTCAGTTGGTTGAACGTCTCACTTCGGCTCAGGTCATGATCTCGCGGTTCATGGATTCAAGCCCCGCATCGGGTTCTGTGCTGAGAGCTCAGAGCCTGGAGCCTGTTTCAGATTCTGTGTCTCCCTCTTTCTCTGCCCCTTCCCTGCTCACGCTCTGTCTCTCTGTCTCCAGAATAAATAAACATTAAAAAACTTAAAAAAATTGTTTTGTTCTGTTTGCAACCATAAGTTGAAAGGGTAAATGCTGTTATTAAAATAATAGTTTTTAATCCGTTTTAAACAAAATAAATTGAAAGTAGTTGTAAATTGCATTTTACTTTTTCTTATTAAGGTTTTAATAGAAAAGGATTGGATCTCTTTTGGACATAAGTTTTCAGAGAGGTGAGTCATACTTTTACACTTATATATTTTGTAAAATTAATAAAGCTATTTTAGAGTGCCAGAATATTTCTGTTCTTCATGAGCTCACATGTCCAGAGGCAGGTGAGAGTGCTGTTTTTTGTATGAAAACTGATTTAATTTTTTTCTGTTACTTCTTTCAATTCTCATACCTTTGTTAATTTTTATGGCAATTCATTACCTTCCTTCTGTCTGGATTGTGGTACTTAGAAGATAACATACCCTTTAAAGTTGTGGTTGAAAAACTCAGGTTTAAATTGCTTTAGTAAAAAAAAAATTATACTTTTTTAATGCCAATATATAAAATTTTTGGTTCGTGTGTTTGTGTGTGTGTTTAAATTTAATAATACCTGAACACTTGTCTTCTCTCAGTGGCATTTTCAAAAGCTTGTACTTTCTGGGGGGTTAGGTGTGGCCATTTGGATGGTGACCCAAAGGAAGTCTCACCGGTGTTTACTCAGTTCTTGGAATGTGTGTGGCATTTGACCGAACAGTTTCCACAAGCCTTTGAATTCAATGAAGCGTTTCTCCTTCAGATCCATGAACATATTCATTCATGCCAATTTGGAAACTTCCTTGGAAATTGTCAGAAGGAAAGAGAAGAACTCAAGTAAGATGGTTTGCTTCAAATGGACTGGTTTTTTTTCCTACTTAGCTGAGGTCTAACATAGATCATGGTTGAACATAATAAAATACCTTGACAGTTTGTAATAGAACTGAATTTTATTGTCTGTATTTCTGAAGCTAAGTACTTTCTGAAGATCCTTCACATCCTCAGATTAATAGTAAAAACACATTTAAAAAATTTGTTTTGAAATGTGGCATACACATGGAAAAGTACATATAGCTTAAGTGCGAAGCTCAGCACATCTAAAACTCATCCATCCATGTAACCAGCACCTAGAACAAGAAGTATTGCCAACACCCTGGAAACTCCCTTCATGTTCCTTTCTAGTCTGAATATATATTTAGAACAGAAAAGCCTTACACTATTTCATTTCCTACAAAGTATTGATCACTAAGTTTTAAGGTTTGGTAAAGAATTTTACAACTGTTGGTTTTAAGGTAAGATGAGGCTTTATATTTCTTGCATTTCTTTTTCTTTAATAATTTTATTTGGGGGGCGGGGGGCGGGGGGTGCACCTGGATGGCTCAGTTGGTTAAGCATCTGACTTCAGCTCAGGTCATGATCTCATGGTTTGTGAGTTCGAGCCCCGCGTCGGGCTCGGTGCCGACAGCTCAGAGCCTGGAGCCTGCTTCGGATCCTGTGTCTCCCTTTCTCTGCCCCTCTCTCGCTCACGCTCTGTATTTCTCAAAAATAAACATTAAAAAAAAATAATTTTTTAAAAATTCTTTTGAAAGTTTATTTAGAGAGAGAAAAAGAGAGAGCACGCAGTTGCTCACAGGGGCAGGGCAGAGAGAGAGAGAGATAAAGAGAGAGAGAGAATCCCAAGCAGGCTCCCTGCTGTCATCACAGAGCCCAACATGGACTCTGTCCCACGAACCGTGAGATCATGACCTGAGCCAAAATTAAGAGTGGGACGCTCAGCTGATGAGCCACCCGGTGCCACAATTCTCACATTTCTAAGCAGACAATTGTTTGGGGAAAATATGTTAGCTATAGTGTGTCTGTCCCTGAATTGGGTCTCCTGTCTGTTCTTTCCTAACCAGTCTTTGGGAGTAGGGGTTTCTGGCTAGATTTTGATACAAAGGAGATGTGGGATAAGGCCGTGAGAAGTTCTTACATTTTTTTTAGGTTGAGTTTCTGCGTTTAGGTTTCTTACAAGCCAGTAAAGAGCAGTTACAGATTCTTGCGTATCCAAGAACTAGAGAAGCTAAGTCTGATAGTAATTTGAAGACAGCCACACACTCTCACTCTCAACCAACTCAGAAGCAGAACTGAGAGCACGTGGAAGATTCTAAAGATGTGTGAAAGGAATTGCAACTGAAATCAAGTATGACAGAGATGAACAAATCAAAGACCATTAAGACTTTAGCTCCATGCTATGGTAATTCACAGCTTATCATAATTTGGAGCAGATGATGCTGAGTACAGAGCTATTTTAGGAAACACTGTCCTCAGTTAGTGCCAAACATGCTGTCAAAAAGGAAGATGGTAATAAAAGCATGTATTTCCTATTAGTCTTTCTCTAAGAACTTACCCATCTTAGGGATCATAGAAAAATGAGCAAACTCTCCCCTTTTCCCTATACTCCTATCTATTTTATGTTCGTTTCGTAAATGTACTGTCTAAACCATTCTACTCTTTATCCACTTACTTCACCTAACGTATTCTTAAAATTGCAATATAATTGGTGTGTTTTTACTGTTGAATAACGACTTGATTTTTCCCAATTCCCTTTTATTGTACTCATTCCCACTTAAATTTGTCCCTGCTCTGCAATTACTTGTTCTACGGCCCCTATGGAGGGTTAAGAGAATGAGGCAAAGAGCGATACAAGTATCTTACTCTCTATACATGTGTGTGGTGATTTGAGATAGGTGTCACAGAGACCACGTTTATGAAGTTGTGGGAGTTGAAAGGAATCTCTTAACGTGTATGGTTGTGAGAGAAATGGTAGACCTGTGTTATGTTCAAAGAGACATGGTTTTATTTCATGACTGTGAGTGAAAAGGGAGAATACAGAATGCAGAGACAAGGTGAGGTTAGACTGTGAGTAGAAGGAAAAATTAAAACTGAAATCTACTTGGGAAGGAATTGCCTGATCTATAAAAAATGATTATTAGCATCTGTGAGAAAGCTCTTTGTTTTTCTCATTACACCAAGGTTAAAGGAGAAGACTTACTCCCTGTGGCCTTTTCTCCTGGATGACCAGAAGAAGTACTTAAATCCTCTCTACACTTCCAAATCTCCAAAATTTACAGTTTTGGAGCCAAATACAGTATCTTTCAATTTTAAGTAAGTTGGCATCATTGAGGTATTTATACTTGTTTTTTTTCAAACACAATTTATTGAGCTGTTGTTTTTTGGTTTTGTCCTAAAGGTTTTGGAGAAACATGTACCACCAATTTGACCGAACGTTGCATCCTAGACAGTCTGTGTTTAATATAATTACGAATATGAATGAGCAAAATAAGCAGTTAGAGAAAGACATTAAAGACTTAGAATCTGTAAGTATTCTGAAGTGTCTTAATATAATACATTTGGAATATTAAGTTAGTTTATTTCCTTATGTTTGAAGTGTAAATTGGTATGTAGAAACCTCTTAAGTTTGAATTGCTTTCCCTGAATTTTAATGTTGAAATACTAATATTGTACAGCTGATGTACAATATCCGATGACCCTTGAACAACATGGGTTTGAAATACACAGTTCCACTTATAAGTGGATTTTTTTTTGTTACAAATACAGCACAGTACTGTAAATATACTTTCTCTTCCTTATGCCTTTCTAAATAACATTTTCTTTTCTCTAGCTTACTTTATTGTGAGAATATAGTATATAATACATTGTAACATACAAAATATGTATCAGTTGACTGTTTATGCTATTGATAAGGATTCCAGTCAATGGTAGGCTATTAGTAGTTATGTTTTGGGGGAGTCAGAAGTTACATGTGGGTTTTTGATTGCAGGGAGGTTTGGTTCCTTCAACCCCTGTGTTGTTCAGGGGTCATCAGAAAAGTAGAGATATGAACGCAATAAATATTGGGGTATCTTTCACGCTTTTTGAGATTTTAATATTTATCATACCTCAGCACTTTTTTTTTTTAAGAAATGAAATAGGATATATTTGAAGATCCTGTATACTTCTGCTCAGCCCATCCCCACATGATTTGGGCGGAATTTAGCGTTAATTATTCCTGTGCATATTTTTATACTTCTGTCTGTCTTTTTATCCAGAATTTATAAGACTGTTTTATATGATTTAAAATATTATTTTTAATATTTATTAAAAATACAAAAGAATGTATTTTCTAATAAGGTATAAAAGCAACAGGCAACAGGATTGCACATGTACCCTTCACCCGGCTTGAGGAGCTGCACGTTTTAAAAGTATATAAAGGTTGTTATATCGTCATGCTTCATCTTACTCGACATTGTTTTGAAATTTATCCATGTTGATACATGTAGCTTTAATTCGTTTTATTATTAACTACTGTATAATATTCTCTTATGTGCATATATCAGTCTCTCCATTCAGCTACTGCAGAACACTTCATTTGTTTTCAGTTTTGGATTTCCATGATCACAAATGAAGTTGAACGACTTTTCATATATATGCCGGCCATTTGGTTTTCCCTTTTCTGTGAATGGCCTGTTCCAACCTCCACTCATTTTTCTGTTGGCATATTTGCCTTTTCCTTATTGATCCGTAAGGGTTCTTTATATACCAGACGCTAATTCTTTGTTTCATATCTATCTATCTATCTATCTATCTATCTATCTATCTGTCTATCACAAGTGGCATCATTTAGTCCATTTTTGTCTTTTCCATTTTATTTATGATATGTTTTGTGTACAAATTGATGAGTCTTTATGTTTTATGCCTTCTTTTGTATCTTGTTTAAGAAATCCCTCTCCACTCTAAGACTTTCGTATCATCTTTCTGTCAGTCATCATATAGAAGCAAAAAGGATCAGCGAGTACCTACTTTAAAAATCGTAGACAGTTGTAACTCAGACTGTCGTGTCTGCCAATCAGGCAGGACTGCTCCTTAGTCATCTGTCAGAATAGGAGGTAACTAATAACCACTTGAGGAAGCAGTAGGAGGATGTGTAAAAAGTGAGGCAAGCCCAAGACGTAGGTGACACAAGCAGATTGGCTGGAGAGTGGTCCAGGGATTTGGAGAGCGTGATACTTTGCCAAAGAATCCTTCTAAAATCTTGTGTTCTGTTTCTTTTTTTGTTTGTTTTTTTGTTTTGTTTTTTTTTTTTAATCTTGTGTTCTAAAGCTGGTTGTGCTTACCTAACAAACCATTATAGGGAAACCATGTAAGAAAGTTCTTTAGGCAATAAAACCTTTATGTAAGTAAGTGTGTGTTTATTATACAGTTATGATTCAGGGTGAAGGTCTCATACACATGTGTTTCATTATAAAATGTTTACTTTTTTTTAATGCTTTCTAGGTAACGTATATCCTTTTCAAATATGAAGGCTTAGGATCTTTTGCAGTCAAGTGTAATAACCATTTTTCACTATAAAAGTTGTATAAACAGTCAGGATTCTCCATGATGTCTTACTCTTCTGCAGTAGATTTTATTAATTTTTTGAGGTTTAACTTTGTATTGTTCATAAAGAGAACATTTGCAAAAGCTTGGTTTCTTCTTTCCTCTAACCTATACTGAACGTGTAGTATGTGCAATTAGTAATTTTTTTCAAATTTGGATTTGTTCTAGAAAATTAAACAATGTAAAAATAAGCCAACAGATGGAATTCTCACCAAGGAATTGATACATTCAGTTCATCCTGAATCACCTACCCTCAAAACTTCCTTGTGTTTCAAGGAGCAAACTCTGTTACCTGTGAATCATGCTCTTCGAACTATAGAGGGCAGCAACCCAGCAGATAATCGTTACAGTGAATACGCTGAGGAGTTTTCCAAATCGGAACCCGGTGTGGTCAGCTTAGAGTATGGTGTGGCAAGAATGACTTGTTAGATGCATAGAGTATTTTCTGGACTGACTGTAGTGCAAGAATGGATTGTGAGAATGGTCTTTGCGCATGACCAAAAGGAATTTGTCTGATAATGATTTTGGAGTCGAGTAGTTGAAGAAAGGGTAATAACTGCTGTTGTGAGAGAAGTAAGTCCGTTTAATTGCATTTCCGGCAAGGAATGACTTTCAGTTCTTTAAGAAAGGAGTGGAATGGGCAGATCTACTCAGAACACAACTTGTACTGTATACTAGTGAATTGACACTTCTGTATGATTTGTATGTTAATTACAGCCAAACATGAATAACTTTCCTTAACTCTAATTTAATTGACCAAGTTCTCCCTTACTTAATAATTGACATGGCATGGACTTATAATTATATAACCATGAGTATTTACATATTTTGCCTATTAGTGATGTTTAATGTTGAAGTGCCATGAAAAATACTTGAGAAAGCCTTAAAAATCTCAACTTATTCTTTACTCTTAGGTTTTATAGCCGAGAGCAAGGTTTTTTTGTTTTTTTCTTTTGGTCAGCCTTGTTTTATCTGTAAAGAATTGCACTCTCATTACTGCAGGGGTTGCATGCTACAATACTCCTGTATAAACAGATGTACAAGTCCACTGTTAAGTTCATGGTTGGCTGGTCCCACTTCCATATTCAAGATTAATGAAACTGAAGGTTTAATTCTGATTCCAGTTTGTGCAGTGCTACACTTGATGACATTACTTACAACTTAGATTACTGATTTCTTGAATATGTGTAAACATATTTGACTGTCTTTTATGTACGGATTACTGCATTCTTTTGATGCTCTGTGGTTGGCTTTATTCCTTTTTTAACTGTGTAACTTTAACAAGCTAAGGCTCTAAAACTGTTCTTAGAGACAGTGAAGAGTATATAGATATATACAGTTTTATCTTTCAATGAGTTGCTCTTCCTAAAACAAACTTTCAGTTCCTTAAAATTTTGGGATTAAAAAAGGGAAGTTAGTACAGGTAGTTTAGATTTTGCTTGGTTGCATGAATTTTAAAGCAGCCATTTCTATGTGGAACATTTTTATCTTATCCGTTAACATAGGGGAAGAAAAGGAAAATTAAGGATAGCCTAGTACAAAGTTAGCAAAACAACTTAAATGCTAGGAGGTTTCTGTTTGCCTTGTTATGTTAACTGTTTCTGTGTGCTAGTAACATATCTTTAAATGAAAAAAAAATCACATGCATTTGACGGTCTTCACTCAGCTGGCTTTAAAACTGAAGGTTTAAGTACACGGCTGGCAAGAGATGTGATTCAGGGAGAGTAGGAAACCTGCGTAAGATCCCTAATGCTTCTCTTTCCTATGCTTATATCTATTTTATTAGTTTTGAGCATAAACAAGTATCTTTTTCACATGGGAAAAAAAGCTTTATTGTATGGGAACTTACCTAATCCTGTTTATTTTTCCAATGCTTTTGTGTAATGCGTTATGTAAGAAGAAAAATACTCCTTTTTAAACAGTGACAGAAATGCACTATAAAATATAGTTTGTGATTTAGCCAAACCTATTTCCATACTTAATTAAGCACCGGGACAGGAACCTTAATCTTTGTGACCACAAAGGGAAGCTTTTGTGCCTTGTTGCTTGGTTCCAGTTAACTGATTGTGGTTTTAGAATCTTCCATGGCAGACTTCTCATATTCACGCGTTTTTGGTTTATCTTCAACTTCAGGCATATATATGTGTATTTATGTGCTCACACATGGACTGAGAAATCAGTTAACATCTGAAGTGACCTACAGCGTATGTGTTGGCAAAAAGCAGATTGTGTATGTGTCTTATAAAATTGAATTTATGTTCAGTGTGTTTGGGAATGTATAGCATGTAAATTATTACATACGTTATTTAAAGGTAATTAAATGTTCATATTTTACTTTGAATGTTTTTCTTCTGTAAAAAAAAACCACAAAAAACAAATGGCATCAAGTTGTGGTGGTTCTTTCTTTCCTCAGTTCATTTTCCCAAAGGTTGATGTTGATAAATAATAACTTACATAAAGATAATTACCAAAATATTTAAAATAGGCACAGTGGGCTAAAAGGCTCAGCAGATGTCGTTGAGTCACTTAATTTTGGTGGAAGGCAGTGTCCAGTAAGAGTATACATTTGGTAAAATGTCTTGCCAAAGGCAGATCTGGACGTAAATGTGAGGAGGAAAGTGACTTGCAGGAAGGAGTTTATATGGGGGTGTTTTGAACAGGTTAGCTAAGCCAGAGTAGCTCAGGGAATCCTGACTAAAAAAGATGGAAGGAAGTCTTTTTTTTTTTTTTTTGTATTCTCTTTATTTAATGGAGTAGCAGGACAGGGTGGGTAGTATCAGGAACCCCCCGCCTCCTTTTTGAAAGACTATTTTTTAAAGGGAAGTTTAGGTTCCCAGCAAAATTGAGAGGAAGGTCCGGAAATTTCTCACGTACCCCACCAGAGTGGTACATTTGTTACAACTGATAAACCTAAACTGATACGTCATTATCACTCAAAGTCCACGGTTTACCTTAGGGTTTATTTAGTCTCGGTGTCCTATATTCCGTGGGCTTTGAGCAAATGTATGATGACCTTTATAGTATCATACAGAGTATCTTCACTGCCCCCCAAATCCTCCGTGCTCTGCCTATTCATCTCTCCCTACCCACCCACCCCTGGCAACCACTGATCTTTTTCCCGTCTCTATAGCTTTACCACTTCCATAGCGTCGCATAGTAGGTATCATACGGTATGCAGCCTTCAGATTGGCTTCTTCCACTTAATAAATGCACTTCAGGTTCCTCTCGGTGTTTTCATGTCTTGATCGCTCACTCACCGAATAATATTCTGTGTCTGGATATACCACGATTGATTCATTCACCTATTGTAGGGCACCTGGGTGGCTTCCAAGTTATGGCAGTTTTTAATAAAGTTGCCTATAAACATCTGTTGTGCGGGTTTTTGTGTGGACAGAAGTTTTCAACGCCTTTGGCTAAATGCCAAGGAGTAGAATTACTGGGTTGTGTGGGACGAGCCTGTTTAATTTTGTAAGAAAGTGCCAAAACGTCTCCCAAAGTGGGGGAGCCGGTGGCATTCCTACCAGCGGTGGATGAGACTTCCTGTTGTTCCGCACCCTCACCAGTGTTCACCGTTGTCGGTGTTCTGCGTTTCGGCCGTTTGAATAGCCTTTTTTGACCTCTTTTTTTTTTTTTCTAGGTCCGCTTTAGAGTACTGAAAATTCATTCAGTTGGCATTCTAAGTTGGATGAAATTCTGATCGTTTACAAAACTATATAAGGAGAAGTTGCAGGCTTTTATCGGTGATGTCGATCCATTTTCATTGGCCGTGTTTTGGCTATTCTGTTGGCTTTTCCGTGCAGTAGTACAACTCGCATTAACATGTTTTGGTGGGTTAAAACGTAGAACTATTTTTACAAGTACAGAACTATACGCTTTAGAAGGCTGTATCTAGAAAAAGCCTGTAAACTAAGATGACTATCTCAAGAAAAGGATATATACTATTGTACTTATCAGAAAATAAAACACTAATTTCTGCCACTTTTCTAAATGGTATTAGTGCTACTCTAATTATTTCCAAGCAAGTAAAATACCCCTTTGCACAGCAACTCTTGTCAACAGAGTGGAATGTGTAACCAAAAGCAACCTTCAGAAGCATTTGCACTTAACAATATTTGTGGAGCTTCTGTTACAGAATGGTGGGAGAATCACATTCTGAATCGCCTACCCCGATCAGTAAGCGTCTCTCCTGTTCTTAAAAGAAACGCAGAATTACTTTCCCATGAAGAGCAGTAACTTGGGACGCATTGTACTTAAGAAACATTGCTGCACAAGATGGGTGAGAAAGAAACCTTTATTTTAGGTCACTGAGAGTTTGGGCTCTGTTACTGTAGCATAACCTAGTTCATCCTGAATGAGGAGACCATTAGCACACCTAAGAAGTTAATAAGCCTCTGATTTCATCTAGATTCCAGCCCCTCATGGTCTCCTCAGGGCCTTTTACTTATTTTTGCACTCCTATCTACAGTTAAGGTTCATGCATTGCATTTGCTTGTACCTCTTTAGGCTCTGACGTTGAACAGTCCCCTCACCCTTTGCACTGACGTCTTGAACCAGACCAACTGTAGGGTATCTTACGACTTCCTGTACCTCCTTACTCAGGAGGATATAATAATCAGCCTGTTCCACTGTTTTGATGATAAATTCGATCACTTGGTTGATCTCTCCTTCTAAAGGTACATTTGCCCCCCCGCCCCACCCCCACCCCAGCTTTGCACTTAGCCAATTCTCTGCCAGGTGATTTTTTTTTAAATGTTTATTCATTTTTGAGAGACTGAACATGAGTGGGGGAGGGGCAGACAGAGGGAGACACAGAATCCGAAGCAGGCCCCAGGCTCCAAGCTGTCAGCACAGAGTCTGATGCGGGGCTTGAGCTCACGAACTGTGAGAGCATGACCTGAGCTGAAGTCGGACACGACCGACTGAGCCACCCAGGCGCCCCATCTGCCAGGTGGTATTTTGACATCAAAATGAATATCCCATTCCCTAACAACTTGTCCATTTGATAATATTTGCCTGAATCAGTTATTTCATTGGGTGTTCCAAAATGCTGATTTTCTAAATTGTCTTTTCACTTTTATGTTTATTTGATGGTATTCTTTAAAGAAGTGCTTTCACTCATCAAGTGGGAAAATTCTTCTTGAAAAGGGCCTGATAAATGCTTAATTCTTTCCCTTTAATCACTAATTTTCAGAGTAAGGAGTTGTAATACCTCCAAAAATTAGTTTTCTCTCTTTTTCTGTAGGGATGTGTATTTTTATAATCAGTTGCAGTAAAGGCTCTTTTTGCACACTGTCTGTGCAGAAGAGCTCCTTCAAGTTCCTTTCATGTCCGTTCATGTACCAAGTAGTTTTGAGCACATTTTTGGATTCTGACACGAGTAGATGTCCCAGGCCCATCTTGTGCTTTCCTGGCTCCAGTTTTGGAATTGG